GGGAGTGCCTTACTATCTTTACATTTCTCCTCCAGATTTATGTACCGATTTACTGGGGAGGAGTGCCGGAGCACATCTGCAAAAAGGCAGCCTTCACCGTTGGATTCGTCAACGAGTTCACGCTGATCGGCACGCAAGGAGGGTTGGCCGAGGGAGAACGGCCACACACGTCCACCGCCGAGAAGTAATAAACGCGGGAAGCGGCTGAGATTTCCGGGATTGTGCTGATCACGTTCGCTTGATCTTCCGGCGTCACATCCCGCGTTTGGCCAGGCTGGTTGAGCATGCCGTAGTTGGTAACCCAGACTTCTTTGCCGAAGCTCGATTTGTATCCGGCCGCCGTGTTCTGGGCCCACTGAACTTGCCCATCCAACGGGTGTATGCTGTTCAGGTATGCATTGAACGCGATCACGTCGATCTTCGCCGGCGAGTTCTCGTCGCTGCAGGCTCCGCCGCAAGTGGCGAAAAAGTTTGTCAGCTTCTGTTGGACTGGCCCCCCTGCGTACGAGCTGAACTGTGGGGCAGTCACCTTCATACCTGCCGCTCGCTTCTGCATGATTATGGCGCTGTTCGTCTGGGCAAATTGCTTCCATTGGTCTACGATGTAACTCATGTTGCCCCAATCCCCGGCGGGTGGGGGTTGCCGGCCAGCTTGCGTGTACGGCTCGTCGAACAGGAGCAAGCCCGAAAACGCATCGCACTTGCTCACGTCCGCCCCGAAATTGTTGTCGAGCCCAGCGAACAGATTCAGAAAGCAGGGGCCGCTGTAGTCCATGACAGGGTAGGCGGCACCCAGCGCCCCCTCGATTACCGAGCATTGCCCTCCGGCCGGCTCGTTTGCTGACTTGCAAACGTATCCGCAGCTGGGGCGCTGCAGGGCCTCGCCGAGCGTCGAGCCCAAACCGCCGAGCGTCGCGAAATTGGTGCCACGCCCGTTCGGGGCAAGCTCAATGTCGGCGGGCAAGGCGTTGACCGCGACGCCGAGCATGATGCAGACAGCCTTGAGCATTTTGAGTACCTACCATTGTGCACAGTCTCAGGCGCCGCCGCCGCATGGCGGAAAGAGAGGAGAAGAGGAGAGAAGAGACATAGAGATGGGTCGGGCAAGATGGGGACGTCTGTCTGGCGTTGGGACAAGCTGGACGCTTCTGGCTGCGTCTGTACTCGTCATCGCAAGCTCGCTGAGCAGAGACCAGGGCGGGGGCGTGCGGGCGTGGCTTGTGCCGATGCCAGCAGGGACACGGCCAGCACGCTGCGCAGGAGTGGGCTCGGATGCACGGGTGTGAGTGCCGAATGCGACACCTGCGAGCGAAGGAGGCAGCTGGAGCGAGAGCGTGGGAAGCTGCGACATATGACATATGCGTGTATGGGTGCGGAGCGCGAGCTGTGCAGCCCGCCGCTTGGAGGGCAGACCGGCTCTGCTGCGCGGCGCAGCGCTGGTCGGCGGCAGGCGCAGCGTGCTCGCGCGCGGGGAAATGAGCGGGGCGGCGGCCGGGGGCTCGGGGATGAGCGGGGCGGCAGTCACCTTGCTCGCGAAACGAATTCTGCGGCGACAGCTCAGCCCGTCGTGACATTATCCGTCATCTAAAATCTCAATCAAACGTGGGCGTCCGATGTAGCGAAACTAGCTGAACGGCGGTCGTGCCGACTTCGTCCCTGCCCTCAATGTGCTGCCGTCAGCTGGGGAAAGCTCAGGGGAGGATCGCGAAAGGCACGACTTGCTCGCCTGCAGCGGCAGGGCTCCGTCAACATGTGGGATCCGTCCGCCATCGGAGGTACGCGCGGTTTGCCCTCGTCCCTCGATCGGGCGTAGAAGTTGAAGTGGACTCATTCTTCTTGCCACGCCGGCGGATTGCAAGTGACCTCGTAAGGCATGAGGGGCGCGGCCATCACATCTCCACACCCCGGACGGGCAGGAGCCCCAGCGCACGGCGCGCGGTGCAATTCCCTCACACTACGAGGCGGAGCCGAGAGTGCGCCGCGGTCCGAGGGTCTCTCTCTAGGGGCAGAGTCGCTTCGAGCGGCTGTGGCGAATGATCTTCATCGTCTTGATTCTTGAAAATAGATTCTTGTGTCGCACACTTTTCGCTTTTAACCCCTTTATACGTTTTGGGGGGGTTGGATCTTGCCGGAACAACAACAAGAAAGAAATTCACACCGGCTAGGCCGTCGCATAACGCTGCCGGCCGGCCACTGCGTCGGCCACATCAGGCCTCCCTCTTCTACTATGCTCCTAGGCCGCTGACAGAGCGCCGTGCTCGCGCCCCCGCCGTGCTCGCGGGGGCGTGGTGTCTCATACAGCCATCACGTCGTAGAGAGGGACGTCCCCCGCCTCTGCAAAGTGGTCGAGGTACGCGCGCGTCTTTGGCCCGATCTGCAGGCCCTTCACCACCGTCAGCGAGCGCAGCCGTGCCCACAGGTCAACATCGTCGTACGAGAAGCCAAGGCCCTCCGTGCACGCCTCCGGCGCGTGGATCATCCCCTCGAGCTCTGCCACCTTCGCGTTCGCCTCCGCCAGGAGCTCGGGGGTCTGCGCGAAGGCCTCCGAGTACTTTTGGTACTTTTGCTCGAGGGGCATGTCCGGGTTGCCCTTCCACTCGCTCTTTTCAAACGGCGGCATCTGGTGGTTGGCGACGAAAGCATCGCGCCCCGCCTTTTGCATAAACTCGGGCAGCGGCACCATCACGTAGCGCGGCCGCTGCAGCTTGCGCATCAGAGTCTGGACCGACTTTTGCCACGCCTGCGCGGCGGCGGAGACGGCGGGCTCAGCGAGGGCAGAGGCGGCGAGGGCAGAGGCGAGGGCAGAGGTGGCGAGGGCAGAGGTGGCGAGGGCAGAGGCGGCAGGGAGGAACGGGCGGTGTGTGGCGGCGACGAGCGGAGGATGTGTGATACACTGTTGGGCCGCACAGGCCTTTCACAATCTCACAAAGCTGTACTGTCACTGGGACGCCGTCGTCTGCGCTGGGTAAAAGGCGTCTACGCTGGGGCAGCGAGGCGGCGCCGTGATGTCACACAGGGCAGTGGCGGGCTGGAGCTGCCTGTCAGTCTGCCTGCCTGCCTGCCTGCCGGATCTGCCCGTCTTTGAGTCTGTCGGTCTATCTGTTTGACTCTCGGAGCAGCGGCACCTTGAGGTCGGTGCGTCCCGACGCAGGGGCGATCTGTCCGCCGGCATCAAACTTGGCGATGATGTCGAGCGACTCGGCCATCGGGCCCTCCTCGTCCACCCAGATGGGCGCAATCTTCTTGCCAACCATTGCCTGCCAGAGTGCGCGGCGGCTCGAGGCGGCACGGCGCAGCAGCAAGGTGGGAGAGCATGCAGCGTCCGCAAGCGGGTGTGTCCGGCAGCGCTCTGTGTGGTCAATGGGTGTGGCGGATAGAGACGCGGTGCGAGGCGACGAACCGTGGGCGTCTCCACGTCGTCGTTCCCCATGAAGACGAGCTTGTGCGGAACGCCCAGCACGCCGGCCGCGACGCGCACACGCACGCAGAAGGGACAGTGATCGTACACGTACAGCTCAGGAAGTGCCATGTACGCTGCCGCACGGCTGGCCGGCCGCACCGGGGCAGAAGACGGCAACCGCTGGGGCAGTCGCTGGAAGCCAGAGCAGAAGACGGCAACCACAGCGAGCGCCATTCTCGACCTCGAGTGCCAGAGCTTCCAACACGCAAAACAAAGAATTCTTAAGATACAAGCCTCTCTCACAGCACACTGGCACGACAAGGGCGCAGACTGGCGCGGACTAAAACAAAGAATTCACCCCGCCAACTCCCCCTCGCCAAGGAGCAGGAGAGCCCCACCTGTCCCCCTGATCGTCCTTCCAAAATCCTGCTCGTGCAGGTGGGGACCCTGTCCTCGTCCCATCCCTCGTTTGGCGTGTCTGTTTTCTCGGGCCCTGCCTCGCCGCCGTGGCGAGATCGCCCGAGATCAGACCGAGCGCACTCGAGATCGTCCGAGGGTAGGCTCTGCCTCGCCACACTCTCGATGAACCTCGCCGTCGTGCTGGAGGGGCTGCTCATGGCGACCGGCCGCACGCGCGCGGTGCTGCTCGCCGGCCTGGGCGGGGCAGGTGCCGGCGGTCGCGCTGCTCGTCGTGTACTGGAGGCGCTCGCTCGGCGCCGTCTACTACGGCGTCGCGGTTGGGTACGCCCTCCTCTGCGCCATCCTCGCCCTCGCCCTCGCGCGGCTCGACTAGGACCTCCTCGTCGCAGAGGCGCTCACGCGCGCCAACGGAGGCGAGAGCTGCCGAGGGACCGCCGAGGCGCCGCGTGAGGCGCAGGGCGCGCAGGCGGCGGCGGTTGAGCCGCGTCGTGCGCCGGCGCGGGGCGCAGAGGGAGGCGGCGAGGAGGCGGCGCGCCAGGAGGCCGAAGCCTGAGTCGACTTGAGCGTTGAGGGGGCGGACATCGTCATCCCCCTTCCCGCTGTTCTGTCGTTACGAGTTTCCACCGCACATAGTGAACAGATTCAGATAGATAGATAGATATAGAGGCGAAAAGTGAAAGAATTTTAACAGAACCGCGAAAACAATGATCAATGTGTCTCAAGTGCTGAAAATCTCTCTCTATAACTCTTAACACAAAACTCTCTCGCTCGTCTCTCACACTCTGACAGCACGGCACAGAACGTGCGGCCCCGGGACGCACACAAGGATGGTGCGGTTGGCGCGTGCGCTGGTCCAATGTGTTGCCCTCAAGAGTACTTCTCCCCTACCCCACCCTCACTTTAGATCAAATTCGCGAAGTCGCCGAGCCGCCTCGCTCGATGCGTCCTGTGCTGGTGCAGTTTCGCGCTCGTTGTCGAGGAGCGACCTGTACATCACGAACGCATCCACATATCCCACGCTTGGGTGACAAAAGGCCCCCGGGAGGCGACCGACGACCGCGAAGCCGTGGCGCTCCCACAGAAGCACCGCTCGCACATTGGTCGACACAACGAAGTTGAACTGCATCCGCACGGGAAGCCCAACCCGCCGTGGCTTCCGCAAGGGCCGTTGCAGCAAGCATTTTTGGTGGGCGACCCCCCGCGACCCGGCGGTAATCCGCTCTTTGTGGACAAAACCCACACGTTTGCAAAACGGGCGAAGCCCACCCGGCACCCCTTGGTTGGG